TGCACTTGTCACCAACTGCGGAACTAAAGCGATGCGTTGGCGCTAGCTGCGGCAGAATCGCACGCACAGGCAGGGATTTTATGAGCGCGAGAGAGGGAGAGAGAGAGCTCAAATGGTAGCAAAAATTCTAAGCAGAAAACTTTGATAGCCGTGGCGCGCAGGATAAGGGCAATTTGCGAGACGAGCCTTTGACGTTTGTGCGCCAAGTGCGAAGGGTCGCAAATGAAGGGCCGCCAGTCGCAGACACGTGCTTGCAAGGCGAAATGAGCATTCAGGCTGACGCGTCGATATAAAAGCCAAGGACATTTCCCAATTGGAACGCAGAATCAAATCAGAGCGCGCAGGGAATACACAAAAGTGCATAGAAAATTTAAAAGAAATTTTGAGAAAGAGGATATTTCAATTATATTATTATTTTTTTTTTTCGTGGAGAAAAATGTTGCCAGCGCTATCGACCAACAACACACATAAACATAAACTACATTTGGATACCAGCAATATTGCCGCACAATCACAACAACAGCCAACACTGCAGCACGCTCAACAGCAGCAGCACCACCACCACCAACAACAACAACAACAACGCTCACTTAAACGTAGCGCAAGTATGATATTTCGCATAGAGCACCTGCTACCCAGCACCAGCAGAGGATCGCCGGGTATTGCCCCGAGCACTACTAGAACAACACCAACAACGCCACACTCGCCACCACCTTCAACTCGGATGGAAGCTACCAGCAGCACTTCGACTGCGATGACCGCCAAGCGTTCTAAACCACGTGCCACATGCACCGGTGTCCTCCTCGCACAATTTACACCCAAAGATACGTTGTCCGAAGCGATACCAACATATGCACTCATGAGCACTGCCAACACTATGGCCGCTGCGGAGTCTACTACGGCATTTTGTACGCTTTCTCAAGGTGTGCTGCGCATGAGTCCCGAACTGTTGAGACGCATAAAACTCTCGGAGGATGTGCACAGCTATAATGCGCTATTTGAATTGCAGCCGGGCGGTATGGTGCATGTGCGAACTGTGCGCGATGTGCCGCGTGACGAGGAAATAGTGGCGTGGTTTGGCGAGGAGGTGGCGCTGCTTATGTCTATACCGTTTCTTGCGCCACTTAATATACAAGGTGAGTGTTGCTAAAAAAAAAATGGTTTTCTATTTTTTACAATTAAGGCCGTATTTTAATTTTATAATTTTCCGATATTTTGCATTTTTGATTTGATTTATCGAAATGTTTATCGATAAGTGTTGTTAAGAAAGAGTTTTATATTCTTATAAATAAAGCCGTGAATTTTAATTTTATGCTTTTTGCTAATTTTGTATTTATCGATCAATTTATCGATGTAATTTTTGATATATTAATCTAACTATTTAAATATGGATGCCTGTATATTTATCGACATATTAATTCAGTGTTTAATTCATTTATCGATATCGTTTTCGTAATTCATTGAAACACTGAAATCGATATGATTTTCCATATACAGTCAGCGTCAAAAATATGAATACCCTGACGTTTCTTTATTTATATTTTCCATGCCAAATTTTTCTAATTTTTTTTTTATAAAAACCAGCAGAATAAATCTTTTATAATTTCATTTAGAACTCGGGAAAATTCAAGAAATACCAAAAATTTTCACCAAAATTTTCAACTTTTCAATTCCATTTTTCAGAAAAATTTTGGGTATGCAGATTTGTAAATTACCCTTGATTTTTGAGAATTTTTTTTTTTGTCGAGGGTGTTGCGCATTTTCTACCGTATGAAAATAGATTTTGTTCAGCCGTTATATGGAAGAAAATGCGAAACACCTTTGACAAAAAAAATTTTCAAAAATCGACGGCAAATTTTAGAGCCTTGAATGAGCTACATACTCAAAATTTTTCTAAAAAATCGAATTGAAAAGTTGAAATTTTTGAGGAAATTTTTTTGCCATTTCTTAAATTTTCCTGAGTTTGTGTGAGTGAAATTGAAAAAATTAACTCTGCTGGTTTTTTCTGTTAAATGGACTACATTTTAATAAAAAAAAATATAAAAAAATTAGTATGGAAAATATACATGAAGAAAGTTCTTTATGAAATTGAAAAAATTAATTATGCTAGTTTTTGTTGTTGAGAGAACTATATTTAAAAAATAAAAATAAAAAATAAATTTTATGGAAAATATACATAAAAAAATCATCAAAACGTCGGGTATTCATATTTTTGGCGCTGGCTGTATGCGCATATGCCATGATTTCACACCACTAGCTTTCTAACCCACAATTTCCTCCGCTTCAATTCCCGCAGGCAATAAACGTTACACTTGTCACCTCTGTCAGCTGTCGTTCGAAACACCGAATCCGCTAAAAATCCATTTGGCTCTCGCATGTGGTCGTCACTCTATGGATATACTCTGGATACGCTTGCATTACGCTCTAAAAGCGTCCAGCTACACACAGCAACAACGTGAGCTGCTTGCAGCGACGGCGACCCGAACAACTAGCCAACCATTGTTGCATACGCCACCAGCAGCTCCATCAAGCACATCATCCATTTCGCCAGCCTCATCACCACAGCCAGCCGCAGCTGTACAAACATCCACACATTCGCAACAGCATCATCAACAACAAGAGCAACAGCTACACCACCACCACCACCAGCAACAACAACAACAAGTACACCGCTTTTCCGCCTTTAAACCTGTCTCACCTTCGATTGCCTTCAG